TAATTCTTGCATTGCAAACATTTTCACTTTAATTACTCGATTAAGCCTCCGTCAGATGTTATCGGTTCGCTCTTTCGATTAAATTAATTATTCCTGTAATTATGCCCGATGTGGAAGAGAAAAAGTAATTATCTCTCATTAGAGAACGCGGCGTCTTTCAGTGCCGACTGATAAAGCTGTTATTAAACGTAGGAAATCGAGGAGTGTAATTTCCGCGGTGGAAAGTTTTCGCGCCCAAACCCGCCCAAGAATTCGTCGTTGAAGAAAGAGAAAAACAAATTATCGTAGCTTGGGGTCGCCTTGTGGGCGCGCGGCGCGCGTTTTCAGCGAAGTTATTTTAATCTACTCGATTCCGATGACCTCCACGCGAAATCGAGGATGGCGCGCCTCTCTCGGATTTCAGATTGGATGCACGTGGTCGGCTCTTGTCGCGCGGTGTTGTTATTGCGTTTATGTCGGCCGCGATGCAACAATCGCGGCTGAGTATATGTATTAATTAACATTGCAAGTCGCGGAACTTGAGTCTCAAACGAGGACGCGTCGCCGGTTGTAGCGCACAATCTTAATTTCCCTCTTCTTTCTTTTACGACAAAAAGAGAAAACAACAAACATTGAACGTTAGAGAAGAAAATAACTATCTCTCTTCGGAAAACGGTCATTACGTTTTCCGCTCGAAAGTAGATCTCGAAATCCAGAATGCTCCACTACATTTTCCTCTTTTCTCAAAAAAAGAGAGGAGCAACAGCCAGAGCGTTGAAAGGTTACAGAAAAGAAAAGTGGCCTCTCGTTAGAACGTGACGTATCTCGTTACCGGCCGATATAGTTGTTATTGACTTAGGAAGCCGAGAAGCCGAGAATTTCCATAAAACAGAAACTATCGCGCAATATCGAAACTTCTTTCATGCAACTCGCGTGCTTCAACGCGGTTGACACGCGAGACGCCTCGTAGTCGCGCGCGAGCAACGACTCCCGGCTAATTTATTAGAAAGCCGATAATTGCGCTGGTTAGCAGGCTGTTTGCGCGGAACATCTGGGAGCACGTCGCTGTTAGGGATTGAAATTAACGCGGCGCGCTCGACTGGAAGTGGTTTGCGCGGCGACGATGATAACACGATGCGCCCGGCGTCGAAAGAACTCACGCGCGTGTAATTAAAGGACGATCGACCATGTCCGGCAGTGACAAGTTTTATCACTTGTTATATCGGCCCGTACGAGAGGCAGATATCGAAACTACGATAGCTCGTGCATATGTCGCGATGATAGTGTCTATCTTCGCGTGTATAAATAAACACGCGACTTCGCACTTTTCATGTGCGCAGCGAATGTATCTTTTCTCAGACTTTTTCGTTTCGTGCGAGTGCAGAGAGGAGAAAGTGAACTCTCGGGTTAGAGCGATCGCGGAATTGTTTACGATTTCGATCGGAAACGCCAACTTTCAGTCACGATTTCGTCTCTGTTTCTCGCTTGTTTTCTTCGGTTGCTTGCATTCGCTGTACGATAACACGAATGATAAGTAAATTTCACATTTTTTGGTAGTTATATCTCCGAACAGGATTGACTTTCTCCTCATTCGCGGCGGAGTCAACTATTTTTCGATCATTTTTTATGTTGTTTACGTATAATAAAATAATACGATGACACGTAAATCACTCAAAATATAAGTTCACTTTTAATTCTGTATCTCTCTCTTTCCATTGTTAATCCACATTCATGTTTGTAGATATTTATGTCTTTGAGTTTCATTATTTATTTAAAATATAATTTAATGCATGAATATATATATATACCGTATTCGTTATATTGGCTGTTTTATTCAAAATAATAATGCTTATTGTTCTCTGAAACTTTTAATATTTTAATAGTATTTGTCCCGAATGGTGGATATAAAAAATAATTTACATCCAAATATCTTAATTTACATACATCAACAATATGAATATATCAATGCGATTATAACGCAGCATTACTCGGTTCCTACGACTGTTGTTGATCTTTCTTCTTGTGTTAAACTTGCTTTCGAAAGTTAGAACAACATCGTCCGATGAAGTCAGCACGACTGGCGATTAATTATAATTGTTCGCATGGCAGTTAAAGTTCCACCAAATATGTCAGAGGTTATCTGAATCGTTTTTCTCTCTGCCACTCTTTTTACCCGCTTAGTGAATAAAGATAAATGTTTGCAACGGGAAGCAGACGACGTGTTTCTTCAGCGTAATTTTTCTACGGCTGTCCCATAAATAATGCAATATAACTGTGACGATCGATAATGCAACAATGCTGCTCGATGTCATCACGTTGTTTATCATGTATATATACATATGCGCATATGTGCGTGTGATATAAAATCCGCCGTGTTAATTTATTACACGGCTCGTTGTCCTTGTAACGTAAATAGATCGAAGGACTAATTGACGATTCTATCCATTTATTTTTCTCATGTAACCCACACAATAACTACTCGTATAAGTAATCCCGTCGTAATGCTCATTTTTTTTCCCTTTCTCTTTTTTTCTCTCTTCTTTAAACATCAATCGACGAGTCATTTCTTTTTATTTCGAAAACTCGTAAGGCATAAAAATTTGCAATTAGCATAAAAATTAAAACTCCGCCGCGATTCATCTCAAAATCCATTATAAGGCCGACGAAACTAGAGTACACGACTTCATTACGGCCAAGTTAAATTAGTTTTGCAAGTCATATCGGCCGAGAGAATAGAAACAAGCGAGACTTTTTTTTTTTAATAGATGGTTCGTAATTTACACACAGTAATACGCGCGCAACAGGTTCTCTTACGGGCACAGAAAGGGTTTGACGCGTGACAATTTTTCATTGTCGCGCGATCAGTGTCACGCGAGACTAACTCGATCGAGGGTGAAATGAAGGTTGAAAAAATTGCGGTGTCTCACTCACGCGCGGCTCCGATCGGTTTTGAAGCAAAAATCGACGAAAACAAATACTTTGTTGTCACGTGCAGCATCGGCAACGGTTGCGCGGTTGCGAATTGGAGATTATCGAGTTATGTCATTTTCGTAAGGAGAGTACGCACGAGCGCACAGGTGACACGCGTGTGTAGCGCGCGTGTACACCTGAAGTCGTTCACAGCTTATCGCTGATTCACAGGTGCATCGATGATGACCGGTGCGGCACATCGTTATCTGGATCGTCGGCAGGCCTATCAATAACGTCGCATTACATCGTTAACGTCGCGGGTTAACGACGCGTAGCGTGCATTCATTGCCCGGCGGCCGGCGATTTGCATTCTTATCTCGCGACGTCCAGCGAGTTTTTCGCGAACTCGCGTTGATTGCCCTCGGTGAAATATATCTTACGAAAAGAAGTCCGTAGCGCAATTGTTATCGTTGTTCTGAGAAATTCGTCGCTCCCGATCAGCGGTATTGCTGTTTTTACGGCGGTGGTAATTTTTGAAGTTTTCCTCGTTGCTTGGGAAATATTCGTCACACTCTGATTTCGCGGTCATCTTAACTGTCGTGACGTCGGAAACGAGATTACAGACGCTCAACGTTCTCGCAAAACACGTTGGGATAAAGCGAGAATGTTCACAAAATGATACTCGTGATCGATTAAGCAAACTTATAAAATAATTGGGAGGCTTTCTCTTCGTTCTCAAAAGAATCAGTAAGTTAGCCACGTTAATCTTACTGCCATTTACCGATCGTTGGAACAAGAGAAACATTTTTGAATTATTTCACAAACCTGCTCAATCTCTCAACGACGAGTGTTATTTCATGGATAATATATTTTTATCTCAACATATTTTATGAAAATTTGGAACATATATCTTCTCGCTTCTGATGTTATTAATCAGGTTGGTCACTGCGAAGGAACAAGTATCTTGATCATGTTTCAATTAATTTGTCTTTATGAATTTTTTTCTGCCGCATCTCTCCGACTCGTTTATTTCAATCATCTCGGTCGTCCTCTCTCTGCAATTTGTTATACTTCTCGTTCATTCACACCGATTCCATGTTTTGCGTCTATGCGTAGCTCAAAGTCTCTCGAGTACAACTCGATAGAAGCAGAGAGTTCGATCGCCTCGGCGCGATATTCTTTTCTTAATTTCATTGTTTTGTCAGGATCCGTGCGGTGTTCACTCTCGTGCATATCGCATTATATCGCACGCGACGTAAAGCGAAGCGAAGCGATTCGCCATGGCGAGCCGCGAACAAAAGTAACTCAATATTGACACGCATTTCACGGTGACCTCCCGCGTTAATAATTATCCGGCAATTTACTTGAATAAACGCGACACCCACTGCGGTCACATGAGACTGCGCGTCGACGGAGTACAACACGACACTTGGATGTGGTAGTGCCCTAAATGTGCTTAGAACTCTAGTTGAACTGAGGGGGTCAGAAGCAAAAAAAGGTATTAGAATAATTTAGGTGCCGTTGTTGTGGTAGCATACATGTCAGTTCGTTTGAAGAAAACAGGAAAGATCTCCAGATTCTTCGGAATCTTCAGGGAGGAGGGTGAAATTGGAATGTGTTGAAGACAAATCGCCTTTCTTGACAAACAATTCTAAGCTCCTCATCTCTCAAAGAGATAACTTGTTCTTTAATAGACGTGATGTATAAAATCACAAAGAATTTCCTGTGTGTGGGAGAGGCTTGAAGACAAGGTTGAAGGATGACTATATTCTTCTGCATTGTTCACACACACACACACACAGGCATGCCATCTTCGTCTAATCGTCTCATAGTTGTCGAGCTAGACGAAGAGCGAGTGCCTGCAGTAATAGAACATCCTCATCTAATCAAGTCTTCGCAGCCTCTTGTGGAGCGCGCTCAGTCTATAAATCTACGACACCCATACAAGCCACGAGCATTTTTCTAGGAAGTTGCCATTGATAAACGAGTTTGCTTCTTACCCCCTCGATTAGAGAGTTTAGCGATTCACTATACGTCATATACACGTATGTCATTGTCGAGAGAGCACGCTCGGGGACATGTTAATCGCTGATTCACGCTCGCTTTCGCAGGTACTGTCTATGAGCGAGGAGTTCAGGCGAGCTCTCTACGCGAACAGTGCCGTCTCCTTGGACAACGACATCATCGTGCCAGACCTCATAGGCACAACGGAGATACTCAGCGACGAGCACAGGGAACAGCTGTGCCGTCATCTGCCCGCGAGGGCCGAGGGTTACCAGTGGACCCTCGTCTTCAGCACCAGTCAGCATGGTTTCAGTCTCAACAGCATGTATCGCAAAATGGCAAAGATCGAGAGCCCGATCCTGTTGGTCATCGAGGACACCGAGGGCAACGTGAGTCTCCCTCTTTCTCATGTATATTAAGCTTTCATTCATTCGTTCGCCTATCGTTAAGGGGATGCCAAAGTGGATGACGACCAACTCCGAAAATGTCGATAGACAGAGGCGATCATCTGAACGTTGTTGCGTCAAGTAAACACTAACGATATAATGCATGAATGTTACGGAAAAAAGTCATTGTTATTTTGCCGGTACAATTTTTGAGTATGGCATCCCTTTGATCCTGTTTGAGGGAGCGGTGCGGTTGACTTTGAAAATTCGGTCGACTGCTGGGACGCGACTGCTGGGGAGTTCATCGGGAAACTCGCGCAAGGATCGCTCCTGTGCAATCGTGAGATTGCACACTCTCTCGATATTTCTCTCGCTGTTCTCGTTTCTATCGTTTGTCGCGTATTTTGTGCTGCATTCCGCCGTTCGCGGACGCGAGGATCTGGAGCAGACGTGTTCTTCCCATTGTTGCACTTATAAGCCGATCCGATCGTGCCTCTTGAATGATGAGTCATTTGACCGTGCGCGTTACAGGTGTTCGGTGCATTGACCTCGTGCTCCCTGCACGTGAGCGACCACTTTTACGGTACCGGCGAGTCCCTGCTCTTTAGGTTTACGCCGAGGTTCCAGTCCTTCAACTGGACCGGGGACAACTTGTACTTCATCAAGGGCAACAACGAGAGTCTGGCGATCGGTGCCGGAGAGTAAGTTTCTTTCGCCTCTCTTCCTCGAAGCAGGTGTTTTCGCCGTAGGCCTTCCTTCTGCTCTCTCACGGAGTCGTTCACTTTTTTCTTTTCCTTTCTTCAGCGGCAAGTTTGGACTGTGGTTGGACGGCGATCTGTACCAGGGCAGAACGCAATCCTGCAGCACGTACGGCAACGAGCCGTTGGCGCCTCGCGAAGACTTCGTTGTGAAGACGCTGGAATGCTGGGCCTTCATATAGGACACGGCCTCGTACCCCCAGCCCATCCCTTCGTCCTCGCCGCAGCCTAACTTGACTTGAACTCGCGAGCCTCGCGCAGGTTTCGCCCGCCACCCCCCGCCCCCAGGAGAGATTAGAGGAAGACTAACGATTCTAAGAGACTTTGCCGGAGAGGACACAGAGTCGTATCAAACGTCGCGATATCAATTCGCCTGATCGCCTCAACGGTATTTTGGGAGGTACCCGGTGCAGTTAGGGTGCATGGGATGATTCCCCCGGGGAGTAAGCAGAATCGTCAGTGTCCGCCGCGCGCAAGGACAACGACGAATAATATTGGCTCGAGGCGACGGTAGTGAATCGAGGACGGGCGATGCAGCCTCGAAAGGGATATTATGCGGTCGGTAATGAGACAAAAGAAAAAAGAAAAAGGATATAGGCTGTTTTAGAGTCGGAAGTTACGCGATCGGTAGCGGGCTATTAGAAACGCGCGAGTACGCGTGTCGCGTAACTGCTGATCATTATTGATTTTATCGTCCGTTCTCGGCACTCTTGTCTCTTTCATTTTTCTTTTTTAGTTGGCATATTTATTTTACTTTTTTTTTTTTTTTTTTACACGCGTACATGGTCTCTGGCTACGAGCGGCTGCGTCGCTCGTTGAGATTTTGCTCGTCTATGTTTTGGATTTAATTTGCAGCTGCAGATCGCTCGAGAGTCGAAGAATTATGATTACTTCGTACGATAATCGTTACTTCGAACTAGTCGTGAGTATATGACACATTTTAAGTGACTACTGCAACGTCGATAACAGGTAATCACGAGGATGTTGATGTTGATGGTATAATGACGAGGGAAAAAAATAATGATAATATAATAATAATAATAATAATGATGATGATAAATATGACGGTGATCATTGAAAGAATGTGAGTGTGAGTGTGAGTTTGTGACAGCGATGCGGATGATAAAATGCTGGGCGAGATCTAACGTTTTGGGAGAAAACGATTAACGATTCAACACGATGAAATGCTAAAAACTAACAGTTTGTTGATGTGTAGATAATGTAGATAGTAAATGTAAATATATATATACTATGATCGTGTTGCAATGATTAATTTTAACGGTACAAGTAGAGAGAACTCTTTGCGGAACACTGTGTAGCTCGTCATGTATAATCCAAGGAGACGTTACAAACACGAGAAACACATACACGACATATAACATATATATATACATACACGTGAGGATTATACACAGATACGGGAGAGCGTGCTCTCGCGCGCGCGACCGGAGATGCGATGATCTATGATCTGATAAAATTAATAAGTAGCTTTAGAAAAAGAGAGAAAGAGAGAGAGAGAGAGAGAGAGAGAGAGAGAGAGAGAGAGAGAGAAAGAAAAAAAGAAAAATCTCGTACCGATGTTCTACTATTATACAAGAGAAACGTAGAAACACATATCGGGCGAGAAAGTGGAATTACAAACTCGAGCTGGAGGCGTGTATTCGTGAAATCTTGTCGTCAATAAATTAGTAAATGTGCTTTGGAGTCACGAGTGACCACAACGAACACACATGCCTGTGCCTGCTTCGCTCTCTTTGTCTCCCTCCGCCAAGTGTCAAAAAAAAAAGAACGCGATGTCAAAGCGTATTATTTCGAGCGTGAACGCCCTACTCCCCCTTCTCATCTCCCTCCCTCAATTTATTCTATATCAGCGTACGAAAAGAAACCCCCGGTGTACGAAGGATCGATCGCAACTTATAGTAGTAGTTAATAGAGCGCGTCGAGAACCAGAGAACAACCGTCGAGATCGTCGCACATGTGACCACACTCGTTCCGATGCTCTTTTGAACCTAGTCCAACTTTGTACGGCCGTGTTAACGTGTTATACATGCAACACACAATCACACATACACACACGTATTGTCCGAGCTTAATCTCTATCGCGCGCGAGCATATCACGAGGAGACACGAGAGAGCGTGTCGGGATGAAATCGAGCGTGTGGTACTCGCACGCTTCATCGCGTCGATGCGCCGGGAGGATGCAATTTTTTACGCGCGCGGCAACGCGGCGAACGCAACAGCGGCAACAACCGCGGGATACATACTCTCTTCTCGTGATCCACGGGATTCTCTTCTCGTTTGAGGTGCTCTCTTCTCGCGACCGCACGAGAAAGGACGTCACGCGTTGCCGCTTGTCTCGGTATCGCGCGGGGAAGGGGGGCAGGGTATCGGACGAACTTTTCTAGCTATGTTAAGCTCCACGGGAGCATTGTGCCGAGTCGCAATCGTTTGAAGGCCCAACTTTGGCACGTGACTCTGCTGACTCTCGCGTCGCGTGAACGGGGACGGATCACGTTTTATATATCGCGTTATAGACCTAAATACGCCGCCGTTTGTCTCCATCCTTTTCCACCTCAGCCTATCCCCGTCCCCCTTCTCCTCCTCCTTCTCCACCTCTGCCCTATCCCCCTGTTTCCCTTCTACAATTACTCTAGATACAATATTTGTACTCAGCGACGTACGCGTTGCATCGTTTCTATATCGATTTCGGATCTGCGATCTAATCTTATAACGACGCGTCTCTCTTTCTCTCTGTCGGTCGTACGCCCAGAGAAGCGTATCGTCGGCAGAGAGACGCGCATATAAATGCGACGACCAAGAGTGCTTATTATACTAACACGTGAGCACAATAAAACACACGCAGAAAACTTTGGATCTATCTTTACCTATTTCTCTCACTTCTCGCGTACGGTATATACAACAAATGCACGTGCATATGCATACACGCGATACGCGTACATGCATACGTACCACGCACATACACACCACATACACACACGCATACACTCTCATTCTCTCCCGACGCAATCGCGTCACCGGGGAACGTTCGAAAGACTGAGCGGCCGATCCAAGAGATTCCAAGTGGAGACCCAAGTGTTCGCGCACTGGTTACAAGACGCACTATAAAAACGGAAGACAAAACAATAGGAAACACGTGATCAAAGCCACCGATTGGGCGATTGGACGGAGCACGGTGCGGCATTTTTTAGTGAGAAATTCAATCAGGGCTCACAGGTGCCGGCGTGCAACTTCAGCGAAGCCTCTTCGAGCTCCTTCGAGCGTGCCGCGTGAATAAGCGTGAAGTGATTAGGAACGGCGTTGATAATCGGGTCTTGTATTTAAGATCGTCTGAGAGTTTGCCTGGTGCTGCGTGGATCATCATTCCATTGACTACGAGACATCTGAGGATGAACTTGGATACAAGACTCGACTATGACCGCTCTGGGAATCCCTCGCCGATGGAATCGTCGCGATTGGAGGATCGTGACGGATTGCAATCGTGAGCCTTTCTTTTCATCGCTTGCAGCGCCGAGACCTCGGCCGGCTTCACCGGAAGTTGCACCTCGGTCACCTCCCAACACCCGATATGTTGTCGACGAAGCACAAACGTGATGTCAATATCCACGCGGTAGCACCTACCGGCTTACTAGGATAGTAGTCTCGAACCTGTACACTTACCTAAACGCAAGAAACACACACAATAACGTTGCATACGATTAGCGTTGCATAGAAGCGTAAATTAGAGTCTAGGCGTAATCATGTGATATTAAGTAAACGGGAGCGAAATGTTGCGCTCGTAGATGATTTGTCGAGTCGCTTCGATGATACCACACGATTGCACGCGCAACGTCGTATACATACACATCATACACACACGTACACGCACACATATTCACACACGTATATACATACCTCGAGATAGAGATTCTTCCTCTTTCGCTTTCTCAAAGCGTACATTTGACAGCAGGAACTTGAATAGCTCGAGGAATGTACAGTCTGTCGTCGGGTTCGAAAGCGCGATCGCTGGGTGAACGCTGGGAATTATGTTTGTTACACGTACGCGAAAGCGAGAAAGCGAAGTATGCGCATCCGAAAGCAGGTGGTAACGATAAGGCCGAACGAGAAGCTTGTGTATAGAAAAGGAAAAGGAGAAAAGAGAGAAAAGAAAATGAGAAAAACAAAAAAGAAATACTCATGACCCTCGCCTTAATGTGAAAAATCAAGATGTCGATGTACATTGTAACGAGAAAAATAAAAGATCAAGTGTGTCTGAGAAAACAAACTTTTCGTTCATTATTCTTCCGCGTTTCGTTCCGCCGCTCATGAATTTACACATGCGCGCGTGCGCGCGCGTTATGTGTGTGTGTGTGTGTGTATGTGTGCGCGCGTCTATGTTGGTTGTGTCGCTTATTGTTCCGTTGCAATTTGTCGCAACCGAGCCGGTTCACATATTGTAACACATACGATATATGTTGTAACACGCGCGAGACCTTCTGGTCGGTCGGCCGACGTTTCCGGTGAGACAAGTTCGATAAATTTATCGCGCAGATATCAAGCGCCGTGTCGTGCACACACCGTCGTATCGAATTCCACACGCGCTGTGGAGAAAAGAAACGCGACGAGAAAGAGAGAGAGAGAGAGAGAGAGAAAACATTTGTAGGTTTCACTTGACATGTTTAGGATACCAGATAATGTCCAACGATTGATAACTCTGTCTCGTGCGCGTGCGATAGTGTGTCATTATCCTCACATGCGAACGAGCGAGCGAACGAGGCGAGCGAATCGCACGTTACCGGACAGTGAGTGAATTAATGCCGTAGATATCCCAGGCTTGAAACGACCAGTGTCATTTAGCTGCTTGGCGGCCTTTGCTTTCAAATCGCTGAATGACATTGCTTATACCGAGCTTAAGAGTTTAAGCAAGAATATGCGGAATGTCCCATCGGCATCTCGCCGTCAGCTCTCGGTGATAAACTATCGAACTTGGAAGTCGACGTTCGCTCGAGTGAAAATCTAACGGGAGACTCCGTCGTGGAAATGGTTTTCTAACTTGTTTGAGTTGTACTTTGACAGAAATTGAATGTAGAAATTGAATTGCGACATGGGAGATATCGAGTGATATATGTTCGAATCTGTAAAGTTTTCATCGATAAGGAAATGCCGTTCGCGATCTGTTCTTTTGGTTGTACGCACTCTCTGGTGCATCCTGCACAAACGAGGTAAATTTATTTTCGTATACTGAATGTAAGAGCAGAGGGGGGAGGAAATATATATTGTACGAGTGTGAACCAGTCGAAGAGCGTAGACACAGAAAGAACAGATCTAATTTCGCCGATGGGACACCCGGCGTACAATACGCTCCTAGATCACTAGGAGTATGTTTATAGTTATGTGCGAGGGACAACTCGCCCGTAGATAAGAATAGCGAAAGACTCCAAGCTGAAAAATTATACGCTCGGTATGGCATACCGATATTACACCCAACCGAAACACACGACCGTGTAGTCGAATATTAGCGATTGTTAGCTGAGAGCTAATCAATGTAAGAAAACTCGAGAGAAGAGAACAGAGGCGGCACAAACTCAAGCTAAGCAGCACAACAAAGAGGAGACACATACCTTCGGTATACACATTGTCAATTAGATTCAGACTGACTGCAGGGATTGAACACACATAAAACAGTTCGATGTTCTTCGATGTTTAGCTAGAATTACAAAGTTGTGTCGTCGTCCTCGTTAAGATGAGAACAGCACATCATTGAGAACACGCGAGTCGACGCACATCTAAACTCGGGCTAGTGGCGCAAACGTGAAGTGATTAGCGGCTAATGGGACCCATTTGACATTACAAGATATTCTAATATATATATATATATATATATATATATACACATACATATATATATACACACTATATCAGTCAGTAGAGAATACGAGAGAGGAGGAGAGCGAAAGAGAAAGAGAAAACTCATTGAGGAGATGAGGCGAACCGATGTTGATCTTAGCGAGAATTGGCGCACAAGTCAGTCTGCTGGTCTCGCTGCGGAGACCACGTAATCAATACTGTATTACGCTACGTTATTGGTATGCGATTTGTCCTTTAACGCAATTGTTACAACTCGGTAAACATCGACTGACAGTAACGTTACGTAAATGTTACAATCCCACTCCCAGAGATGTGACTGTTATGTACAAGGTGCGTCACACTTCACTTACATTGCCGAGTGAGCAATCACAACAGCGATGTAATCTTGCTGTTACTCGAAGTTTACCGGGGACTAACGCAGCTGCTGCTCGTGGGTGAAAAGAGAAAGAGAAAAGAATTCTTGTCTCGTTGAGGAGGAAATTTCCGAATGTTCCCGACTGGGAACGCGCATTACCTTGCGTTTCGTTTCGCGTCGACGGTGTGAACGGCTGTCGTCGCGAGAAAGTCGCCGAAAGTTAATTGAGATCGAGGCCGATCGCTCGGCTTGGCTTCCCTCTGTCTATCCGAGTGATGCTCGTTTCTACCGACGTCGATGAAACTTTAATTCGAGCTTAAACCTGCTATCCGGACAAAGACTTAAGCTTGGATGAAGGTTCCAACGACGTCGGTGAAAACGAACGGGAATGAGAGACGGCGGAGTATTGGTCACGGATCAGTTGAACTTCAGCCGGCGTTTAGGAAAACGATCCACCGCCACTACCACCCTCATCCCCTGTTGCATAAATGTTTGTTCGGCCCTTATTAACAGTAGAGGAGACAGGAATCCGTAGAAACAGCCTGTTTTAACACACGCGACCGTGAAGCGGCCGTTTGTTTCGAGCTGCGAAGCTGCGAGACGATCGATGTGACGTATTCGTAGCGATTTCTGTGCCGAAATCCCGAGTTCCAATGACAAAATTATATAGCTAGCGCAGCGAAGTTTCGTTGTAAAGCAGAAATGCGATGTAGGCCGAGCGAGTCGTTTTATTCGGCAATTCAACGACGATGTTCCAATATTTGCGAGCATTTCGATGTAAGAGGCAGGCGATTTCCAGTACAACAAAATATCAATTACAGCGACCCGACGCGGTGCGTTGTGCGTGTAATTGAGATATCTTCGCTGTGCGTTGCGCAGAGAGAAGGAGCGATGCGCTCTCAGTGGGTTCATCGGCGATAAAGATAACAAGTTTTGCGAAAGCTTAGGGAGAGCTATCGAGGGTGCGCTTGCAAAATAGGCACGCGATGTATCCGCTGGGGAGGAGAACAATTGCGCCAATGTATATACGTAATTCTATGAAATATCGTGTCTTGTAGGCAGGCAACAAGCGCTGGGCACTGTGTGTTAACGCGATAACGATGCATAACTGGTGAACTAAAGACGTGTGCGAGGAGAAACTGACGATCAAGACACTTCTTACGTCCGCTGATCGTGTCAGGGCACACATGTCGAGAAGCAGGCACTGAGAGAGATACTATTATTTATTATAAACATGTCGATGAGAGAGACCGTGAAGGCGGATATCCGGCACGAGCTAGCTGTTTGATATGTTTGATTTGAACGAATTAAGCGCAGAAACAATAGCGAATCATCCTTTATAACACTGGCGCCGAGAGAGTCCGCACAGAATAAGATTCAGGATAGCTATTTATGATATGAAAATGCAAAAAAGAAACAAATGCAGAATATGTAACACTATCCTGATTGTGTCGATTTTTTACCTCCCGCCACAAAGTCCCTCTCTCACCGTCGATGGAATGCACTTGGTTTTGGGTGACATTTTGAAGAATCTCAGGACAATATTGGAAAGAATTAAGAATGATGCTCTCGCAGAGAAAATATATTGGCGGTTTTAAGATACAGAGGTGATGTGCAATATCGATATATTGTATTTTTATATACATATTATTTGTACATATATAACATAATGTTGATGGCTTTGCCTTAAAAAATGAGAAGATATTCATCACCGATTAATGTAAATTACTTAAAAGCACATTAACGTTCTCGTGTATATATCATAAAAATACTCAAAAGTGCAGTATTCGATCCTTATATTCAAAGTATAGACAATCTGACGGAAATGAGATTTCATTCACTTGTTTATTTTTATACCAAAGCAACAACAACGATAGCGATAAAAAGTAAAACTATCACCACCCAGTAAACAAGCGTACGGTCTTTGGAATGAATATTACGGACCTGTTGAGTCTTGTTGACCAACGATTCGTCAGTCCTTTCCATATGATCAGCCAGATCGTCAATTATTTCTACATTGCGGTGGAAAAGAATTTCAAATATATTTCAATCATAGAAAAATATATTTCGATATTTTCCGGTTTACTCACCGTTTTGGTGGTTCACTTCGTTGCTAATAGACTGGCCAATCTCTTTCTGACGAGCTATCACCTTACATAGCTCATCTAAACCTTTGTCTTGCTCTGGAGGACATTGAACAATATGAATCTTGCATGGTACGATTATTTGAATAGTTTCTCATTTGAGGATTAATTTAGAAATACCTTTCAATACTTGCTCCTGATGAGTCACAAGGTCGGTAACAGTTACTTGTACATTTATTGGTTTCTCGTCATCCTCATCGGCAGCCCAAGAAGTCGTGCCACCGTCGGCGAAAGCCGACGAGCCGGACTTCAATAAGCTGGCACGCGACGATGCGTAATCCTTTGTACGCGGGTCATATAGCTTTTGTAACTGTATATCCCTGCTCTGTAATTGTTCCACTTGTCTTGTTCTACGTTCAGCTTCCTCAAAGGTTCTATCATGCAATCGATTGTTAAGGAATTCATTATATAAAAATTAACATTTTCCAACATTGTTTTTCATGATATTCTAAGAATCAAGACACATATATGTGCCAAGATAAAAGGATACATTGTCCTTGATTTAGAAGCTTCTTCCACTTTATTTTTCAATTGTTGAACCTCCCGTGTGTATTGCTTCATACGTAACCTTATATTGGCTGACAGACTGGCATAAACTTTTGATGCCTTTGGTTCTGAATCACGCATGGTCAGCTGTTCCATGATCTCACGGAACAGTTTTTCACATGCATCGTATTCGGTGAGCCTAGTGATATACATTGTTCATTAGATGTATGGATACAAAAATTGATACAGTGGTATTGTTATTACATAATCACTCTCCTACAAAGGGTACATAATAGTTCCAGTAGATGTTTGAATGGAACAAATGGAATATCTGTATAGAATATGTAGACACTTACCAGGGATCAATCCCTTCGATATTAACCAGTGCCATTTTTGCTCCTTGATGCAGATATGCTTCTCACCCTAAAAATCACCCTCTAAAGGCACCCTAATAAATAAAATGGCACGACGAGTATTTTCACATGATATTCATCGTCATTGATCGTGAAAAACATTATCTTATTGATGATTGATGAGAATATAGTCGCATGATTTATTCTCGGGCTGCCACTATTTATTCAAGTAGCGATGGAACTTTCTAGATCTGTCACGATGACACGACGCTCTTTCAATAAAATTACAATTAAGTAATAATTGAGTAGCAATAAGCAATGCACAAAATCGTGACGCAGTCTGTCAAAATAACCTCAGAATCAAGTACTGTCAAACTCTCAGTACCTGTACACTTTACGCGGCGCCATCTAACGCAAGAGAGTAGAAACCGAATGCTTTCAATTTAGCATGGCGGCTTCGTTGGATTGGAACTTTGTTAGAATGTAAAGTGTGCGCCCATTGTTTGCTGTTATTGTTTCAATTAACGGAATATCTCGATCCGATTAATAGCGCACTTCTTCCAGGTGATCTCATGATTCGTTCGACGCAACGAGCGTCTCGATTCGGCGCAGATTAACCAAGTGGATCGCCGCTCTAATTAACGCAACGATGATTTTCTCTCGGACGCAGGTAAATTTATTCATATGAATTCCTTATACGTATTGTTCTCCACTCTGTATATTGCTTCAAGTTTGTTCGATTTTCAAAGGTCCCATCAATTGACAAAAATCTTGGCCGCGGACACGTGCACTTGCAAGGTTTCACCGTCGCTCGTCGATGTGCGGCGCACATGCACTCGTTTGGGAGTCCCGCTTCCCGGATAATGATTCGGCACGGTCACCCTTTTGTCGTCCACGAGACAGTAATTCAGCTTTTGCATAATCCGTTCGACAAACGTCCCCCTTGGCGCGCCGCTTCCGTCACGACGACGATTTCTTTTTAGACACCATCGCGTTTCTCGCGATTCCGCCGCTCTTTCCGCGCAAACCGGCACGTCCGATGTCTGTACAGACGAGGATACTGTGAACGCAGAGATCGGGAGAGACTGGCGAATTAGAATAGAGATCAAAGGGTAACAATGAGAGGGGAAGATCCACATGAGAGCATCCTCGGTAATCGAAATTCTTATTAGAGAAATAGTTCGACAAAATACCAATGTCGGGACGCGTATCTAACTCTGAGCATGATTTTGATTTTAGTTTGATCTTCAAATACGAATATCTAAACTTTCAGCATAAAACATATATATTCATTATCTGCACAATATATGCTCTAACAGCATCACAGATGTCCAGAGGACGTCCAGAGTACGTCTTAAGAACGTCCTGGGACGTTTCTTCGTCCTCAGGACGTCCATACGACGTCCCCAGGAGATCATGTGCTGTCTGGGTGTAAATTCTATTTTGAGTTTAGACATTCGAATTTAAAGGCCAAAGCAACGAGTGTATCCAAAATTCCGGCACTGGTACTTTCGCCTATAAATATCACTTACTTGCGTTCGAATTATTTTTATTCCTAGACGCGACATTCGACTTCTCGACGCTCGTTAGCGACGTTTTGTCGCTAGCAGACACGGTGTCGTTGCTCGGTTCTCTCCTGATTGCAGATCCTTGCAGATGCTTAGCAACTCGATTCGCGGTGTTGCTCTTCGTAAGGTACGACGTGACGGTCCTCGCCGAGTTCGCCGCGATGGTTGAGACATTCGAGCCGGTGGAGTTCCTCGCGCGAGACTTCGCGACGACGTCGTTCGTGCTCCTCGGCGGAGCCTTGAAGGCATCCGTTTCCCTCGCGGCCGATCCGGACTTCGTAAGCCTCCAGGTGCTCTTCGAGTGCGCTGTCGAGGGCCGATTGTTACTCGGCAACAGTTTGTTGTTGAGGTTCAGGTGCGCGGCCGACTTCTGCACTCGCCCGTGCTTCGAAGACGACGGAGCGACGTTCGAGACTTCCGGGAACGTGAGGAGAGACGGGAAGCGAATCGACGCGGATGCGTCGCTGGTTAGATCTTGCGGTTTAGCTTGTCCGGACGAGTTGCTGGCGATCCGAGGAACCAGGTGCCGAAGTTCCGCTTGCAGCTTCTTGATCTCGTCCAGACGCGTCAGGATATCGTCCATGTCGTTATTCGCCATCTCGGATTTCTAGTAGAATATTGCATCTCGCAGTTACATCTTGAGTGTTGCAATGAATGTCGATTTTCTTGACAATTTAGCCGGGCGTCCGTCGCTCCGAGAGACGAACGATCTTCGACATGAAGATCATTCCGCGTTACGACGTCGAGCGATGCGATGTTATTTGCGGGAGTGACATGTCGCGTTGGTTATAATAAGACGCCCATCAGCTGCGAAGCAACCGCCGCATGATGGATGTGCGCGCTGCGAATCGGCATTCGTTCGGCAATGCGGAAATTGATATCGACTGTATCGTCGCCGCCGTGGCTGGATTGAACGACAAGATTTCGCGGCTGCGACGGGAGATCGACGCGTTCAAGAACGAGGAGGGAAACTATTCTGTGCGCAATTGCTTGAGGTAACCGAAACCGAGAGCAAAGTTTGTTAACGTAGCTCTAAAACGTCATCCGTTAGCTCGATCGTTCAGGACGACGGATTTACTTTTCGTCCCGCGCGGGATTACGTATTTGTAATAATCGACTCGCGCCGTTTGCTGCCGTTCTCGCGGATTGCGAATCAATAATCCAGCGTGTGAAAAGAACCTTCTGATATTCCAGGCCGGCGCCGTCGGAATTTAATGAGTCGGCGGAAAACGCGAGGAGACGAACGAGCGCGCGGTGCGAGACGCAAAGAAATTTTAAAGGAGACGACTCGCTAGGCGGTTCTGATTTATCCGCTCGTTTATCATCTGCGGAACGTGCGCGGGAAGTAAAAACGGAGGCCCACGAGGCGGCTGTATTTAAGGAGGATTACCCGTCCGATGATAAATCAATCGGAAATGATGAACGGCCGGATAGATCGCCGTCCAAACCGTCGCGAGCGTCTCGAGAGCCCATCTCGGACGCGGAAAAATTCAGCAGAGAAACCGACAATGACGAGAAATCGCAGGAGCCCGAGAGGTGCCGAAATAGACCCGCGAACGATACGTATCGCGAGCGCAGCCCCGAAAATGTAATTGCGTCGAAAATTAGGAGAAAAAGGATCTCCAGAGGCGTACAATACGACAGACCCGCCGAACGCGGAAGAAACGCCGGCTGTTTATTTCTCCGCTGTTTTCGACCGAGATCGAAAGAGTACAAACAGGCACGGGAAGCAGAGAGGAAGAGAGCGCACAGAAATAAATCCGATATTGTTCGCGAGCGACAAAAGAGAGCGATCAGATCATCAGTTGAGAAAATAATCAGCGGCGGCACGCGACCTGAACAATCCTGCGGCTCGATTGACGAGGAAGAGATACCGGCGGGTGATGCGAATCTAAAGAAAGAGACGCGCAAAGGCAATGAAGAGGAAGTAAGAAGTATTAAGAAAAAATATGACGAATCGCAAAATCGTGACGCGAAGTGGAGTCGCCTCGGAGTGCCATGGCTGTGTAAAATGTTTGGGCGCAGTGCGAGAGCTCGAAGAAGAAGATCGGTACGAAACAGCAATCCCAGCGTCGTCGTCATCGATTCTGCGGGTAACAAAGAGGAGATTACCGAAACCGACTTCGGAAGTAAAGGGAAGTATAGCGATCGCGAGCGCAACGACGGTTTTCACGGCGACCGGAGCGTGAAATTTCCGGATTGTGAAACGAAATCGGAGGACGCTCGGGAAAACGCGGCTGCGGCTTCCGAGCGGCAGAATAACGTGAACGAAGCGAGGAAGAGATTGGATTTGTGCATCGCCGAGTTGAACGGGATTATTCGTGATGCTTGTGCGATATTCGGCGGCGGGTCGAGCTTTGGCGGAGTAGAGAGAACCTCTATGGCGAAGAGGAACAGCTGAGAGAGCGCGGAAAACAGCGCTCCAAAGTCAGTGACGTGAGCGCGTGTGGTGGGCAACGTCAGCGTGAACGTCAATGGTAAATTCCAACCCACACGCAATATGCGTGTCTTGTTTCGAGAGAGCTACGGGAACGAGCGGGAGACGGTTTACATAAAGTCGGAAGGTAAAAAATATGATTCTGAGAGACGATGATGTTCACGACGTCGTCGCTTCTGTACGCTAGACAGTAATCAGCGTTGACACCTGTTGGCTCCAGATGGTTTCAGCGTGAACGAGGTGAAGTCCGAATCGACTGAATCTCAGGATATTTATTTTCGCTTCGTGTCCTTCGTGAAGGAGGTATTTCTGCCGCAAGGATACCCGGATAGCGTGCGTGCCGATTACCTAGCTTATCAGATATGGGATACGGTACAGGTTAGTTTAAATCACCACCGGTGGACATATGGTGGTTTGACATATGTACGACAGCTGATTCTTCGCGAAGAAGTTTGCGAAGTCGAAGAAGTACTGTAGTTGTATAGCTCGTGAGCTCTTGAAGCGGTTTATAAAATGTCTCTTTTTCATTTTTTTGTTCAAGACAAGTTCAAGAAGGAGGAAACACTCTTGTTGGGTGAAAGATCATTGTAACTGACATTAGATTAATATTTTACAGGCTTTTGCCAGCACCATCATGGGCACACTCACAACACATTCTGTAATGCAAGGTATAGGAGTTGGTGAATCGAATGCTACACCACTAGCAGCAGCGATAACATGGATTCTGAAAAGCGGCACTGGCATGATTGGGAGTATAATGTTTGCATGGTGGAATGGGTAAGGAATAAACTAGAATATTTAGTTATGCTTTAGCTAAGAATATCTATTAGATACTTTCTTTGTCACTTGTAATTAATGTTTCATATCAAGATCCTGAACTTGCTTCTTGTTTCAGGACTCAGCTGGATGGGCAATGCAAGAAATGGAGGCTGTTTGCAGATATCCTGAATGACATAGCAATGGGGCTAGAGTTAATGGTTCCGTATTTGTCACCGTATTCTGTGCCAATTTTATGCACATCGACCATCATGAAGTCCGTCGTCGGTGTTGCTGGTGGAGCTACAAGAGCAGCACTGACTCAACACCAGGTATTTGGTTGTTAACTTGAATATTCTACACTAATTTTATATTGAAAACTTTTTCTTTTTGCAGGCAATACGCAATAATTTAGCAGACGTCTCCGCGAAGGACAGCAGTCAAGAGACGTGCGTAAATTTAATCGCGTCATTCGTCGGGATCTTCGTGCTGTCTTTGTTCCATGATGGACGGTACGTATTCGATATCTTTATTACCTTCCTGTTATCATGAATGCTATTAATAATGATGGAGTATAATGCACATATAGATACCTAATAGAATTATATCTCTTCCTGGTGGCAGTCCATCTTTATGCAAATTATTCGGCGGTTAAAGCGCTATGTTTAGATACGCTCAATGAAGACCGTCTGGCTTTAATAATAAAAAATTATATGATGAACGAGCGAATCTCTGAGCCGCAAAAGATTAATAAGGAAGAATCGGTATTTCTACTTGGAAACCCTTGTAAGATATTATTCTAATACCGACATTATTCTTCTTGTGCCACTTGATTATCTTTTTTCGCAAATTTTCGTTAATTTAAATCGTCGTTAATTAAATCGTTTAATTATAGCTAAAGAAATATGCGGTTTTAACATAAAAATTGGCGCCTCGTTTGCAAGTCTCCTTAAAAGAAATGTGATTTCATCTATGGAGATGGAATTCTTGTTAAAATTTTTCGAAGACAGAAGGTATTTAATAACGATAGATATTGAAACAAGAACCATATTTATAATTCTGAAAAAGGATATAAAACCTATTGAAGTATTGGAAGGATACTTTTACGCTTTCATGTGTGGCCTCTACATATGCATGGCGAAACAAATATCGGTCGTGAGTAATGAAAACTCTTGCACATTTTCTTATCTTATTAGTGCATAATTTGTTATAACTTATTATACTTGGATATTACATAGAATCTGTTGTTGCGTTCCGAAACGTTTGAAATATCGTACCCGTTGTTGAACACGTACATTCTTCACAAGAAGTTTGCAAACTCGAATAGCAATGTGCAATTGTCGATAGCTATTCAAAGTGTCTGTGCTACAGACTTGATAGTCTCTAATGAGTATAAAGCGTTCGTTAGCAGTCTGGAGATGAATGGTACGTAAACGGTGTTATCGTTGATATTTCGTGGATGTTAAGCGAGCAAATGCATAATCGTACAATTTCAGGATGGATAACGGAAACAAATTTATTGGGAGTTGGCGCATGGAGATTTCGTATGGGGACCACATAACGAAAATAATTAAAATGATTAAAAACCGTTTAACACAAGCATATTAAAATATTTCCCTCATGAGGCTATAAAAAGATCATAATTCTCACGATATAACAGTAAGAGAATAAATCTACTATGATATGTAGATACAGAGAAATGATTTTATTTCCAACATTTATAAAAATATAGCATACTTTTTATACTGTACAAAATGATATACGTGACTCGAACTAAGACTCTTGCTCCGATTTAGGGCCGGTCTGTGACAAATGTTTTACTATGTCCACCCAGTTCCAACCACGTGGTCTCTCACCTTTGCCATCTGCCTTGTTCCATTGTCTACGTTTCTGAGCCTTGCTTAACTGTTCTTTCTTCGGTTTTTTCATTGTTTCTTCAACCTTAGAGACAGTATTAATCTGTAGAATATGGTTTCAGAAAATATAAGGCAAAATGTTGAGTAATATAAAACCTGTTGATTCTCCTCTGCAATCTTGATTTTACTAGTATAGGCATTTATATCTGTGACTGAATCCGGTTGAATGGATACTAAGTCTGCATAATGTTCTTGGACAGACTGAAATAAGGTATACGTCATAGCGCTACCTAACCATTGCTCAGCCTCTGCCTCTACGTGACTCACCACCTTGTCCTTTACCTCTTCCACACTGTGCATTCCAATTATTCACCTTTAATCAAAGTAATCGAATGCAAGAATAGTCGAGCTGCTGCTTGGCTGCACTTACATATGTTTATTGTAAAATGTGTTCATATTAATAGTTGGCTTCTCTGAAGGATATGTTGCACCCCATGAGATTTCCAGCAGAAATGATTTCAGGTCATTGTCCTTTCCAAACTGTATAGAAAAATCATTGTATCAATTGTATAAATATTGAAGATATATTTCTTTGGGTATGCAACTTAAATTGAAAATTAAATATATTCCTTTTATAATTAAAATTATCAGATGTGTCCATTGTTAATTTCACTGCAAATTTTATATATTTTCCGCAACTGAATAAAACATATGTATATTCCAATCTTGAAGGAAGAGAGTTGAAGAGAAACTATAAGATGATACACAGACATAATAGAACTATAAAAATAATCTTATATGTAAATATATAAATACATTATAATAAATATAAACAATAAAGTTATGAATAGTTATAGATCATAAACGCCAACACTATGAAGATTTACGTTAAATTACCTATTATTTTGAAACACGAAATATACAAAGGTTCTTCAAACGTGACCATATTATTGGAGTAGTCAGTAAAATAACATTTTTTGTACCTTATATTGAAATGTTGTAGGTGTCAACTGTTTAAAAGCCGGATCGCCATCGTATATCGAGAACAATACTTCCCTTTCTTCTTCCTGGAGCTCGGCATCGCTCATCTCCTCTCCTTAGACTAGATTTTATATCGCTCTACCTTCCAGTAATATTACGCGACCATATGTGTGAATTTTAGGTTAAGAATTTCAGGTATATAGCTAACCTAAATTTAGCTAGGGATGAGCGATGTCAAAGAAGATAATTGGTTTCAAAGAACTCGGTAAAAAAATATATCAATTATTTTATAGTTGTTGATAGTTTAAAATAATCAATATTAGTCGAAAAAGATGAAATTTTATTAATAGCCAATTTTATCCACTAATAGTAAATGCTTCTTTAAAATTTTATTAAGTAAATTGTTATATAAATTGTACGTTTATAAATATTATTACATTAATTGAAAATTTATAAATAAAAGTTTAATTAAAAAAGCAAATTTTGCTCTTAAGAATATAATATAAATTAATGTGACGATATGGGCTGTATTACAATATTCACTGCTAGCACTGAAAATCTATAAAGCCAGCGGCACACGATGCTTGTTTTCGTGCCGGATTGCATGCTGGATGAAAATACTGCGTTCTGATAGGTACATTTCCGAAGATGAATGGAAATGCATCAATCAGAACGCAGTATTTTCATCCAGCAAGCAATCCAGCACGAAAACAAGCACCGTGTGCCGCTGGCTTAATATACGTGACACAAACTATGTATTTTCAGTACTGGCAGTGAATTTTGGAATACAGCCGTTAAGTCGTAATTTAAAGTAAATTAAAAGGTTCAAATCTCAGCTTGAGATTTGTCATTTAGTTGAGACGCGAACCAGTAGTTAAAGCACTATCTGCACGACTTGTACAGGGTGTAACAGCAACATACAGGTCAGTATAACCAGAGAGAAGAAAGAGAGGTGTCATGGGCCGCTTTTAGCCGAGCTCAGTGTGAGGCGCCCTCTATATACCCGTGCACATGAACTACGATGCCAATGTCCATGACTCTTTCTGATTTCCCCCACCCAGTGATGACAAGTCGTGGAAATTTTTCCCATATGGGAGCCGTTGTGCGCATGCGTGAGCATGACGTCAGAGCTCGACGCAAGCGTTTCCAGTGATGGATGTAAACGCAGATAGTAGGTGCAAATAGTGCGCGCGAAAGGTCTCGCGCGGTTGTCCATTACAGTTGTTTCGCGTTTTTCCCGTGAGTACTTAGGTTATATATTCATAATGTAAAATGTTATAATAAATAAGTGTAGCGATAAATGTAGTGATAAGTTAAGAAAGAACTGTGATAATAAGTGCAATAGGAATAATAAATATAATATATTGGCTGCAGATGTAAAAAAAATACAAATTAAAAAGTTTTATTATTATCCTTTATTGTTCATATATAAACTATAATATATTTATTGAACAGAAGCTTTTTCCGTTCCCTATAATTTCCTTCACATTTCTTCCATAGTGGGGACCTAATGATACCTACAAATATACAGGGTGTCTCAGAACTTTGGGACACAGGCTCCGTAGGGACATAGAGCTAAGTGAGAGGAACAAAAAAGTCCTGTACCATAATGTGAAAATCGTAATAGTTTTTTAGTAATAACCGCGTAAAGTTTGGCGTTTTCCACGCCCATCGCGGCCTATAGACGCTCCGCGGCAAGCTGTATGCGTCGAGGCTGGGCAGTAAGGCGGCACACGCTGACCGCCGGCAATGGCGTTTTGACACTTTGACGCCGCCAGCGCGGCGAGACGATGATGAACGCGTCGCGTGTACGCTGCAAATCTAAGCGTGTTTTCTCTTTGCCAAAAGTGTGTGTCGCACACTCCTGGGTTGGCCTACTGGGGAAACCACGTAAAAAAAAACGCACCGAGCTATCTACCTCATAGGTGGTGTGGAAATGATAGCGTTTCCACGTGAAAAAATAATTTTAACACGCGCAATTGCGTTTAATTCACATTTGTCGCCGTGTTTAATAAACGTTAAATTATCGCCTGCAACCCAGGAGTGTGCGACACACACTTTTGGCAATGAGAAAACACACTTACAAGGGGAGGACCGGCATGGGCCGGGAAACGATTTGGAACGAAACTTACGGAGTTAATAGTACTTGGCTACTAATAACTCATGGTAATAGCATACGACGCAATACCTCTTCGTTTTCAATAAAAAACGGTCTAAAGAAAAGAGCCAACAAAGTGTACGAGTTAGTAAAAGGGGTATTCAACGAAGCGGCGTAGCGCAGCAGCGAAGGTAACGGACTAGAATCAGGAGTTTAGCTATTGGGCCCGCGAGTAGTGATGACTAGTCCAGAAGATTCCAGAATATTCTGCAAGATTCTAGAATTTCCGGGAGACTTCTGGAATTTTCTAGAATAATCCAGATATTCTCGAAACTTCTACAAAAGCCAGAAAACTGAGAAAATGAAAAACGTCTAGAATCCTGCCAGAAGTCCCGAATACCTATCTCTTCGGTTATTACCTGTTCCTGATACAAAAGTCAGTCCTGATACAGTCCAAAAACTGAGAAAATGAGAAATTTCTGGATTCCCGCCAGAAGTCCCGAATACCTCTTCAGTTATCATGTGTTCCTGATACAAATGTTCGAAAATTGAGAACTGGTAATGTTTGAGTCTCAGCTAAATGTGTGGGTCGATAATAACATCGCGGTTTGAGTCTCGACTAATGATTAAATTTTTTATCCGGAATTCGAACCACAAAAATTACCGACCTTCGTAAACTAAGCGAAGACTCAAACCGCAGTTTGCCGACCTTCATAAAATATAGCCAATACTTAAATCACAATTTACCGACTCCCATAAAATATAGCCCATACTCAAACCACAATTTTCTGTAAACTACAAGGTTTATCCGAGATTCAAACCAGAATTTATCGACCTAAATATTCGTCGAGGGAAAGGAATTTGGTATTTTTTGAATGTTTGGGCATTATGAATGGAGAAATAAATGAAATGGTGACATAAATAAAGTAATACTTGTGTCGTATTTAATATACTTTTATTTTGTATTGTTTTTTATTATAATGTACTGGAGGCCTACGCATACATGCACATGATGTGTGTAATATATAATTCACAATATGATGTTACAATGTAATACAATATAAAACAACATAACGCATAATATATACAAAAATTAAAATTGTTTAGCACAATAATTGAAAGATTATTTTCGATAGGAGATACAATATATAAAAACTCTGTATAAATTTAAACGCATTTTTATTTCATCCAGAACATTAGATATTTTATTCTCATTAATATTTCGTGATACAGTATAATATGACGCAATATAATGAAATATATTTTACAATTCTCCTATGGGCGGTGATTTCTACAGAAATACATAAAATAAGATGGTTTCGGCTAAAAAGTATTGTACAACTTGGATATCTCAATTTGTGTATACAGGGTGCCCCTTTTGAAAAATTCATTCACATATCTCAGAAATACTGCGTTAAATCGGAAAATGTTCCAGACAAAAGTTGTATGGTTTCAAGGCGGACATAAGACAACTATATCAGTTTGTTTATAGATGGCGTCACTTTCGAGATATTCATTGATCATTACTTTTTTAAATGGAAACTCTATTTTTTTATCATATCCTCTTTTTCTACTAGTTAATTTGAGAAACTTTTGTCTGAAATACTTTACCTAATATTTCCTGAGATATTTAAAGAAAACTTGGTAACTTTTCCAATTTTTAAATATCAAAAAATATTAGGCCAATAAAGAAACATTTCACACAAAAGTTGTCCAAATTAATTGGTAGAAAAAGATGATATAATAAAAAATTGGAGTTTCAATTTGAAAAGAGTAATTATTAGTGAATATCTCAAAAGTGGCGCTATTTGTGCATAAACTGAAATAGTTGTTTTATTTCTCCCTTGAAACCATACAACTTTTGTCTGAAACATTTTTCAATTTAACGCAGTGTTTCTGAGATATTTGAATGGATCCTTTAAAATGAGACACCCTGTATATGTATATAATATGATTTTAATATCATAATGTACAATATTGCATAAAATTGCATTAAAATACCGTCCATTGAGCCCCGTGAGATAAAAGCGGAGGTGGAACGCTGATCGAGTCATTCGCTGGTGTTATCGTTAAAACGATCGTTTTTCGTTTCACCAATGTCCGGTCGCGATTCGGACGAACGCGTTTGGCCATACGCCACCGTGGTAAATGCCGCCGAGTCGATGAAATGAAGAGAAAAGCGCGGATAGCGACGATAGGGAGCAAGCAAGCGAGAAGGGGGGGAGGTGGGGGAAAGCACATAATGCCGCAGATTAATGCGAGTTTCCGTTCAGCGAGCTCGTCTTTCGTTCGGCTCCTGTTTCCTCCTCTTCGTCGTTCCTTCGCCGCGCGTATCGGGAATGGCGATATTGGGTGCGACTAATCGAGTCTTCTGTTCCTATATTCCTATCTTCGCTCTTATCTAACGTCTTCAGAGGAGCGACGGAAATTATCTTCTCTACTCCGACGAGCGATGCTTTAGCTTTCCTCCCTTTAGCTGTAGAGTTATTTATAATAATCGCTGTAAAAGAGTTATATTGTTATGTATTATTTCTATAGGAATTCGGAGTATTTATATACATTAGAGTTCCGAAGGGACTTTCCCTGATTTCTCTATTCGTTCTGATTTTCATTGGCTTTGTTATAAATTTACTTGACTGGTGGCTATCATGGAATGACTGCAGTAAGATTAATCGAAAAGTGATTTTTTAACGATGGGGAAGTCTGCGGTATCAATTACCGATGAATCACCGCTAATAATGCTGGCAAATCGCAATGGAATGCAGCGGTTCGCAAAGGGTTATACTTTGTATTCAGAGTGGGCCGGTAATTAAAATCATTTTACCTGATCATGATCCAAATGTCAAATAGCTATTTGCCGGATTCGCTAAATATTATTTATTCAGCGTCGTAGTTTCAACACTACCGTTCCAAATTTTCGCCTCGAGTGCCACGCAGCCGTGAATCGCGCGCGCACGCACGGAGGAAATGATTGCGAGAAAACGAGTCAAATTACGCTTACAATCCCGACAATATGATGTATTTGAAGACCGCAATTTCTAAAAAATTCCACTTCTTCGCTGAATCATTCTTCGACGTACCCCGATAGTATGCTCGCACTGTGGAATTAAAACGTCACCATAAGCGCACGTTACTCGCTTCGTCGTTCGACCGATCCGCCAGTAATACGCGGGCGAATCAAATTTGATCGACGTCCAATTATTTCGCAATTTTTGACGGTGCTTTTT